ATATATATATATATATATATATATATATATATATATATATATATATAAAATCGAAGCAACTGTATTAACCCAGGTTGGAGCGATAATCAGCCATTGCTTTTTCTGTTTGGGCTTGATCTTTGATTTTTCTTAACGACTTCATTATGTCTCTGTCTTATTTTGTCAGCCACTCCGGGGCTTTTTGGAAGTAAGCATTGTACAAATTAGTAAATCAATAAATGTGCAATCATGGGTGTGTATACATATGCCATCGACTCTGCCGGAACAGAACTCTGCCTCTCAGTAGACACAGCCACCCAGTCCCCTGGGGAGGCAGACTCAGTGTGGATCCTGCCGCTGACTGGTCTGTGGCCGGCCCTGGGAGACAGCAGCTCTTCTGGGCATTGCTCTTATTATTGCTCATAGAGCCAAACTTCTTCACATCCAGTGTTTATCCAGAGGACCTTTTTATAAATTCTTTGAGAATTTCATGCATGCCTCTAAAGTATTTGATCACATCCAGCCCCAACTCTTCCTGTTAACTGCTCCCAGATCCACCCTCTTCTCCCAACTTCCAGGAATTAAGGAATTTTTTAAGGTGGATTAACCTTTCTTGTCGCTACGACAGACCACCTGACAAGAAGCATCTTAAGGGAAGAAAGATTTTATTTTAACTTACAGTTTAAGGGGATACAGTCTGTCATGACAGGGAAGGTATGGTGACGGGAGGAAGAGGCTGCTGGCCCCATATCATCCACAGAATGTCAGAAGTAGACAGTGGACAGGAAATAGGATTAGGGTATAAAAACCTCAGTTCCTGACCCACTCCAGTGACTCCCTTCTTCTGGAGAGGTTCTGCCCCCTAACGATTCCACAGCCTTCTGAAACAGCATCACCAGTTGAGGCTAAAATTTGTGTTTAAAAATCTGCCTATGGAGGACATTTCACATTCGAGCCACAGCATGTATCTCTCGGAAAGGCAGTGGTGGAGTAAGGAGAAATATTTGACTTGGAGATAAAAAAGGGAAATGTTACTGTTGACGGCCTACGCTCTGTTAGTAATACTTCTGACTAATGAGACTGGAACCAACTGATCCCAAAGAGGAAAGCTATCAACTCCTGTAACTGGGAAGGGTCCAGTGTTAGTGAAGACATTGGGAACAACTAGGGGCAGGGTCCAGGCGATGTCATAAGGACTTCACATTGCATCCCTTGGAACAGTGGGCACAGCTGTAAATCACAGCAGAAAACTCACAGTGCGCTAATTTTGCAGCCCCGGGGAACTCTAAGCAGTCTGGTGGAAAAGGACCGAGGGGGGCGTGGTGCCTCAGCTGGCTCACACTCACGGGGTTGTCTAAGCAGAGGATCACGGCTAAAGTGACAGTGTCCTCTGATCAGCCAAGCATGGTCACGTGATCCGCCAAGTGTAGTCACATGTTCATCCCACTTGTTTGAATGGTAGGTTCTCCACAGAAGGTGATTGTAGGAGGAGAAATAGTAAGAAATGCCCGTCATTAATAGGTGCCGACAAGTTTATCGAACATCTACTTTGCTTTAAATGAGTGCTTCAGTTCTTTGTGACAACGCTTTAAGATAACAGCACCAGCAAGCACTGAGTGCCAGGTGCTGTTCTGAGCACCTGTTAACTGTGAACTCATTTGGTTGTCCTCACAGCTCGGGTAGGTGCTGAGGTTTGCACCACGGATAGTGTTGTTCTGTGGGAGTGCAGCGAAGCAGAGGCTCAAAGGGGTGTATGAATGTGCCAGACAGGTTCGGTCAGAATCCACATCTAACTGGGTAACTCAAATCCAGAGACTGCTTTTCTCCATTTTGGTGAGTGTGTTCCTAAGTCCGTCACTATTCCCACTTCACGGGCAAGTAAACCTCAGAGAGGTCAGATTACTTTTCCATAAATCCCGCCACTGCTAAGCCGCAGCCCCTCCCAAGTGCTGCTTCCCGCCCCGTGTTCAGTTCTAATTTTCACAACAGTCTTATCGACAAACCAGTGTCAAATCTGCTTCTACGTCCTGAAAAGTGGAAAGTGTGCTGCTAGCTTTCCATTCCTGTAGCAACAGATCGACATCATAAACTTAAAAACAGAAGGCCTCTGTCAGCTCAGTTTTGGAGGTTCCAATCCATGACTTTCTTATTTTGGAGCTACAGCCGCTCAGCAAACCATGTCTGGGGCACACAGAAGAGCACAACCTCATAGGGAAGGGTCAGAGAGAAAGAGGAAGGGCAGTGGAATGGGGTCTCTGCTGGATAGTTCTATGTCAACTCAACACAAGCTAGTTAT